CTACATAACACCCATCGTGTATTTATTGTTGAATGCTATGGTCCGCTTCTTTCTTATTCAGAAATCGGCTCATTAGCATTAACAGAGTCTTTCAGGTGTATCTGGAAAAACCTATGTTTACTGTGGCCATCTGAAAGTGAATTTATTCTGCTTTTCTGTTGCTTATGTTTTTTTCTGAAAGGTCCACACCTCGCATGTGTACAACACGTTAGCACAAACACTGCTTCCCTGCGTTGTTAACAGCCTACCATTGTATGTTGCACTGTTCTTCACAATTAATTCCAGATGTTCTCTGAACTCTTCTCGGGACGGGTACTGCCGCTTGCGAACGTTTTCACGCAGAGTCTGTAAATCCATGGGCCGGGTAATAATCTTATAGTAATCTTTGACAACTTTTGGATTCACAGGTGTATGAAAGGGGTATGTCTGAGGATGAAAAGGGAAAGAACCAACCATGCTTATTAACGCAGTACTTGCAGGGCTCATCTTCATTTAACTGCCACAGTTGAACAGGCACTAACGTATAAAACCTTTACACAATCAGTTCCTGAACTGCACAAGGGAGAATATGACGAGCTCAGCCACGTGGTGGCTACCACTTTCTTCTACAGAATGTTCTTTAATACCATTATGAGAAGAAAAATCTCACAGAAGTTCTCAGATTATATTTTTGTTTATGCAGTACAAAAGCCAAGAAACTGAGCTTTAAATTCCCATTTTATTTCAAATCTTCCGTTTAATCTTTTGGTTTTGCAAGTTTCTGGTAAAATCCATTCAGAAACAGTGACTTTGCTCCAGTGTCTCACATATAAAAGTATTCCACATTGCTACACAGAGCGTTATGCAGCTTTTCTTGATTTTGTTGAAAATTTAAAAAAAAATAAAGAAAATCACATCCTTAGCTTTTCATACGTATCCATACAAAACTATTCAACGTTATTTTCTGCTAAGGACGTTTTCATCTCAGAGATTCGGAGCTAACTTATGAAATAAAGCACACCAGCTGTGTCAAGGGCAGGGGGGAAAGGGGCGGCACACATTCATCCGAGAACAGCCTAGCCTAATTTTGGCATCTACAACACACAACCTGCTTGAACCATATTGCTTAAGACACAGGTTTTTGGTCTCAGAGCTTTAACTTACATTAGGAAGATCCCTTATGTCATTGATGATGCCCTCCAAGATAGACGACAGTGTCACCATGGGATCTGTTCGCCTTCGGTGGATAGATTTATGAGGACGCTAAAGAAATGAGAGGCAGTAAAATTAAGGCAGTTTCAAGTTGCAAAATCCCACAGAAATCCTAGGGAATTTAGTTTACTGATTTAGTGGGCAGGTATCTGTGTTGCATGCAGAGGATGCACAGAAGCAGTAAAGAAACTGGCCAGTTGGTACAAGCAGCAACAGAGATGCTCAATGAGCTCAGTGATGCCTCTACTCACATTCAGGTAATCGCAGTGAACGGTTGTCCCCACTCGTCGCTTCTTCTTTGGAGGAAGCTGCTGTTTAGGAAACTTCAAGACCAGTGATTTCCTGCGAACCTCATCTGCACTACATCAAAACAAAGAAGCGTAATATTTTCTCCACCTTTCTTGTGAATCAAGACCATTTGTCCCCAGTATTGGCTCCGGTCCCAGCTGCCATAACACCAAATACACAACCAAAATACTGTAGTAACAGTCTGTGTAAAAGCCCTGTCACTTTATTCCCGTGATTAATATACACGTGAGCATTCTGCACTAAGCTCTCCATTGTTTTTTCTGACCACCCATCAGTATCTCTGCTTCTTCCCTTACCTCTCAATCAGTTGTTTTCCCAGTACAATTTTTGTTCCTTCTACTTTGATGAGTTCTTCGTTATCGTTGTGAATGACTGTTTTTTCCAGCTCTTCCTCCTGCTCCTCTGTCATTGCGACAGGGTTAGAAGGTGGGGCATTTGTTTGGTAGTAAAGAGGGCAGAACTTATTAGTCCTCATATGGCCAATTGCACCACATGCTCCACATTTTAGCTGCGAAAATATAAGAAAGATGACAGATCAGAATTCATAGATAGGCTCCTAATTTAGAGGCAAAGTATCATTAAAATGCTCTAGTGAGACCTTCACTACATCACTAAACTTCTCCAATATCCAAGACCTGCTGGCATCCTTTATGTATGGATATGCTTACTTTCAAGTCTGGACGCTCTTTCATTTTCTTGGGCTTCTTTTCTGGAGGGCCCTTGAGTTTCTCTTTTTCCTGGTTCCGTTTTAAGCGCCGTAATTGTTCCTGGATCCTGCGGCGCTCTTTCCGCATCTCCTCCCGGTGCTGTTCGTCAAACAGAGCAAACTTTCGTCTAGGGGGAAAGGAGGAGAAACACAAACCACCCACACACGTTGTTTTTCATCCGAGTTGATGATTTACCAGGTACTCTTCTAAGAGGTAAATCACTGTATGAAATTCCTAATACCCTCCTTCTCTCTGTCTACACAACTGCAGTCCCAGGCTACATTTCTTCATACCACCAACAGAATGAAACAGCCTAGCGGCAAAGTTAAAAAGATAAACAGTATCACACAGGTCTTACATGAACTCTTCATCCTTGGTAGTCCGTATGCGGCAGTAGGCATCGATAACAGCAGGCTTCCGAACTGTCTCGCACCTCACGTATTCTTTCCCATCCTCATCTCTAAACGTGCGATAAATTTTGAGGCGGCGGCCAGTGGCAGAGGAATTAAGGCTGGTTACAGAGGCAGTGTCATCGTCTTTGTGAGAGTTTGCTGAGGCTCCTGAAGCTGATGCTACAAGAGAGTGTTTTATTTACTTTTAATTTCTTTCACACTATAGAAACATCACAGTTCAAATACAGCAGGTAGTTCTGGTTTCACAGAATCACAGAATCACAGAATCACAGAATCGCTCGGTTGGAAAAGACCTCTGAGATCATCACGTCCAACCGTTCCTGTCTACCCCCTAAACCATATCCTTAAGTACCTCGTCTATCCGCTCTTTAAACACATCCAGGGATGGTGACTCCACCACCTCCCTGGGCAGCCTGTTCCAGCTTCTGACGACCCTCTCAGGAAAGAACTTCCTCCTTATCTCTAACCTGAACCTCCCTTGGCACAGCTTGGTGCCGTTTCCCCTTGTTCTATCCCCCACCACCTGGGAGAAGAGACCAGCACCCACCTCTCTCCAAGCTCCCTTGAGGCAGTTGGAGGTGGTGATGAGGTCTCCCCTCACCCTTCTCTTCTCCAGGTTAAACAAGCCCAGTTCCCTCAGCCGCTCCTCATCAGGCTTGTTCTCCAGAGCCCTCCCCATCCTTGTGGCTCTTCTCTGAACACGCTCCAGAATCTCAACATCCTTCTTCTAGTGAGGGGCCCAGAACTGAACACAGCACTCGAGGTGCGGCCTCACCAGTGCCAAGTACAGGAAGTTTAAAAACTTCCAAGACACAAATGCGGGAAAATCTAAGCAACAGAAGTCTTTTCCTTACTTGTTCATGTTCTTTAATGACATTTGATCTGAAACAAAAGTAAACTACTGAATTATCCACGTGGACTGTAAAGCCAGAAGGAACAGCTACAGTCAACGAGGATCCGCAGGTGCCTAAGTGCAACCCTTAAGGCAACTGCAGTGTGGCCCTGCAGATTGCTTAGACTTACATTGGTTTGATCCTGTGTATGGATCACATACATCATGTGTATGATCATTTTGTATGGAGATCTGGAAGCAAGGTCAACAATTATCCCGTTCTCCAACTGGTGTCACAACCAGTGAGCCACCCTTGTCTGCTGTGACCCCAGAATCTTTCCAGCACCATGGATAATTTCGTTTGAGAGATTTTGTTCAAAATAACACTAGGTATCTTTTCATAAGGCAACAACCATCAGCTGATCTTCCACATATCCCTTACTAAATTATTCCTCTAATTAAATTAGTGATTCATTCCCAGACTGGGTTTCTAACAAGGACAACATTGACCTAGGTGCAGCAAAGCTCAACTGTGCTCGCACACACGCGGACACGAGCACCACCACACAGACCTAAGCTCATTCACAGGTCAAACACTTACCCACCAGTCAGGGACCTGTCAAGTTCTCTGTCGGAGTGCACTTCAAATAAACACATAACCAAGGAGATCCAAATCCAGCAGCTGCCCAATTACCTCCCAAACACACCACGACAGCACACCACTTAACAGCTCCTGCTCTCAGCGTGCACACCGTGCCCACGCGTGCCACGTGCACTGCTGTGCTTACACACAAGCTCCAATTGAAAGTACTACAAGCTGCTAGCAGGAATTATTTGTGAACACATCTTGAGAAAACTACTCAAAAACACCACTTCACCCCCCAAGAAAAGGAAAACTTAGGCAGCAAGCCGCAGCGAATATCTAAAGAAATATTTGACTAAGTTTACGGTTCAAAATGAACAAAGCTACGAGGCAAAGCAAACACTTCAAATGCATTTTCAGCCAGTAACTGCTCAGGAGAAGAAAGAAACCCCAGAGAAGTGTCTATGCATTCTCCCTGTATCCCCCTGTGTCTGCACATTCTCCCTCAATCCACATTCTCCTGAGGCCACATCAGCACGCTCTGCAGCCCTTCCCAGGCACATTTTGGTGGTTGCAGTTACTTACACAGCCCCTTTTTGTCTCTCCTGTCCTTTTTGCCCCTCTCTTTGTCATTGCCACTGTCTTCTCCCAGAAGCATCCTTTGCAATTCCTTCCGTTCCTGCTCTTCTCTTTCCCGAGAGAGCTGAGAACTCGTTTTCTTGTTCTGTAACATGTTCTCGATATTCTTTCCCATCTCTTCAAAGTCACTGTCTTCGGCTGAGCTGCTATCTGTGTCTGTTGACAGGATCTCAGTGGATTCCAGAACCCTGAAACAGGAGACACCTTCAAAGTTGGTCACTCCCCCTCCAAGTGAAAGAATCAGCCTGTTACCTTCCCAGAAATACAATGATAAAAATGAGGCAAAGGTTTGAAAATTAATATTGCAAAATCCCTACTATCAGAACAGGTCTAATACATCCCCTTCTCAGTCCTCCTGTAATCTCCATGTCCAAAAGATCAACTGTTCCAAGTCAATCTTCTCCCAACAAACTGATCACAAACAGCACTACTGGGCTGACCCAATAGTAATTGTGGGTTTTTTCTGGGTAAATGAAAGGTGAATTTTTCATGGGAAACAAAAACTGCACTAAGCAATACATTGTCCATTTTGTTCAATTATCTTTTGACATCTTTCAGGAACCTTCATGATTCCGCACTCAGAAAAGTTCTCATCTTACTCGGAAAAGAACAGTTCCAAGAAATACCCTCCTCAGCAGTGAAGGTTTTACCATCCAAGGTGTTTTGGAAAGAACAAAACAAAAGGTAGTTTGATGGTGCCAGGTCTAAAGAATACAGTGGATGTGCTGACACATCCCATCCAAGCTGCAACCATTTTTCATGAGTTACCAAACTTGCATGTGGCCTGGGGTTATCATGGAGAAACACAACACCTTTACAGGTCACCAATTCTGTTTGATGGCATCATTTAATTTATCCAGCTGATGACAGTGCACGTCTGAATTGTGGTTTGGTTCCTTGGAAGCAATGCAAAATACACAACGCCTTTGAAATCCCACCAGACTGAGAGCACAACCTTCCCTTGGTGAGTGTCGGCTTTTGAAGTGCTCTGAGCTGGCTCATCACGCTTGCTCCATGATCTTTTTTGTTCATTGTTGTTGTAGTTGGTGCATTTTTCATCACCTGTTATCATGTGTTTCAAAAATAGATCTTTTTCCTCATGTTTCAAGAGAGAATTGCAGATGCCAACACGCTTAGTAAGACAAATTTCTTTGAGCTCGTGTGGTACCCAAATGTTGAGCTTCCTAACGCATGCAAGTTACAGATGGTTTTCAACACTTGATTTTCATGTTACCAGCAATCTCTCATCTTGTTAAACGCCAACTGGCTCAGGTCAATACCTTTATTTTGTCGTTATCAACTCTGATTGGCCTTCCTGAGCGTGGCGCATCTTTAACATCAAGATCTCCGGACCCAAACTTAGCAAACCAATTCTGACACTGCCGCAGTTTTAAGGCGTCTTCACTACACACATCTCATAACTTTTTATGAGTTTGCACAGCATCGTTTCCTTTTCTGAATACCACAAAATATGACCAAAATGTTCCTTTTATGTTGAAATCAATGCCAAACAAGTAATTGTTAATGAAGTCGTGCACTTTCTTTTTCCAAAACAAGACTGAACTGTCAGCTTTCAAGTTACACAATGAATCCGCAGTTTAAAGAGTACATTTCAAGACATGTGTGTCCATCTATTAAAAAATTGCAAATACTTTTTGGCTAACCCAGTAAATCACCGTATTACGCCACTCTCAGCTCTTGGGCCAGAACAAGGAATAATGCATGAATTCTTCTGGCAGTTCTGAAGAACAGGACACAGAATTGGTAGCTGCTCCCCAAGAGAGAGCTGGCAAACTGCTGCTAACAAAGCAAAACTAAAAAAAAACCCCACCAAAAAAAGAAAGAAATTTGATGGTGACCTACTGATCTGTGGGACAGCGGAACATCTCATGGCATTGTACATGACGGACCATGCAGTTCATTCTACCTTTCCAAAGGGTCTATGCCAGCAAGACACTAAGGCCAACCCTTAAGTTTCCATTAACAGCCAAAGCCCTCTTTCTCGGTGCTGTATTCTGTGGGCCCAGCCAGTTGAATCAACATCTATACCACTAGATATCAGTAAGCCCCAGGCATACATAGCTCTGGACTTTTAAGGGGGATTCAGAGTGAGGTTCAAGGCTGTAAACGTCAGGTAAGAACTTACTTATTTTGTAAATCGAAGATGCGCTGACACTCTTCTTTGTATCTCTCCTGATGCTCTGCTACAGAAAACCGAGACCCACGTGCAAATTTGCTCATGGGACCTTCGCCTGAACGAGCCTGCTCTGTAGACATCGTACGAACCACATCGATCACTTCCCACCGGGACAGCTTCTTGATCTGGAAAGAGCAAGACAGACCAGAAGTGGCTTTAGAGACACACAACTCAGGTAGCTGACTGGGGATTTCAACTCCTTTCCACACAGGGTGAGAGCAGAAATGTCTATGTTCCTTCCAACATCAACTGCTGAAGCAAACTCTGTAACCTGCTCCAGGTTCATGCTCACCTCCTCTTCAGGCACTCCAAATTTACGCAGAAGCTGTTTGGCATTTTTGAGAGAAAGCCGGCGCAGATCAGCGTCTGTCCCAGTCACTGTCTTTTTCACTGGCTGAGGTTCTTTATCATCCTGTTCAGGGGAACATGTAACCTATTAATGTCACCACATGACAGTCTTTCCTAGGCTCATCTGATTTGTTTTCTCTTCCTGATGTCCCACCTTTACTGCATTTCCCCCACATTTCCAGTTATTGGTCCTTGTCCAACCCAACCTTGGGAACTGTACCTTCTGCTGAGTTGGTTTGTTTGGAATCTTCACATAAGAAAATCCTTCACCACAACCGGTAGGGTCTGCTACACCAGTCACTTCCAGGAGGCACTTGCCCTTCATAGCAGCAATGAAGGCTCGGGTGGTATTCCACGGAGCTGTGCGCACCTGCCAGCAGGATGAGAAACACCCTCGGAATCCTGCTACCATCAAGGAGAATTTGAAGCTTTTCATATTGGATTCTTCCAGTCGTACTGAGAACCTTTCATCTGACGTGACAAGAGTGAATTCACCTTCTTGATCCTTCAGCTGCCCTGATAAAACCCCTACGAAGAACCAAAGTGCTAGACAACTCACTAAAGACATTTAAGGCAAAAAGCCTGGAAGGATGTGGCAAGAAGGGTCCCCAAACACAGGTGTAAATTTGGTAGCAGAGTTCCCAGGAAAGCTGCAAGAACAACTGGATCCAACTTTAAATATGTCCTTTATATTTTAAGACCTCATTTCTCTCCTGTCCTACAGAGTTATGTATTGGCATGCATACTGATGCATCACTCTGACAGTACCTCATCATCAATCTTCATTTGGAAATCCTCTTCGTTCTCCTCTTCTGGTGCAAAGAAAGATTTCTCCCCGTAACCTGCATCCTGCAGAGAAATATTAGGAAAAAATTAGAACCTAAAGTATCAAAAAGCTTACTGGAGAGAGAACTAGAAGCGTATTACCAATCTTCTGTGGACACCCGTCATGCTGAACAAGCAGACTGCCACACCGTGCTGGTTTTGGCTGGGACGGGGTTAACGATTAAGCGAGCAGCGGTGTAGTGCTTAGTTGCTGGCTGAGGTCAACCAACACTCAGACAGTTGTTTGCAAGATTTACTGTGACCCACAGCATCACAGATGTCAAACTGCCCGGTATTTTAACAAACGCCATAACTAAATACTGCACTCTACTTCAAAAAAGTAACCAGTCTCTCTCACAGCCACATACTGGTTACTTTCTGCTGTAGAGCTCCAGGTAGAAACACAAGCCCTTTTTTGTACCTTCCCTTTGTTACCTCTGAGCATAGCTCACTTACCATCTAAATAATAACAGGTGGTAAGAATATAATGTCTCTCTCTTTCAGAACTTAACTCCCTTTTTACTCAGCAGAAAACCTAGCAAGTTTGAGACCACATCTGGAATATTGCATCCAGTTCTGGGCCCCTCAGTTCAAGAAGGACAGGGAACTGCTGGAGAGAGTCCAGTGTAGGGCTACAAAGATGATCAAGGGAGTGGAGCATCTCCCTGATGAGGAGCGGCTGAGGGAGCTGGGTCTCTTTAGTTTGCAGAAGAGGAGACTGAGGGGAGACCTCATTCATGTTTATAAATATATAAAGGGTGAGTGTCACGAGGATGGAGCCAGGCTCTTCTCGGTGACAAACAATGATAGGACAAGGGGTAATGGGCACAAGCTGGAACACAGGAGGTTCCACTTCAATTTGAGAAGAAACTTCTTCTCAGTGAGGGTGACAGAGCCCTGGCCCAGGCTGCCCAGAGAGGTTGTGGAGTCTCCTTCTCTGGAGCCATTCAAAACCCGCCTGGACGCCTTCCTGTGTAACCTCATCTGGGTGTTCCTGCTCCGGCAGGGGGATTGGACTGGATGAGCTTTGGAGGTCCCTTCCAATCCCTGACATTCTGTGATTCTGTGAAGTTGTCCAGCAGTCAGGGGCCCTGATTTGCCTACTTTATAGCAAAATTAGCTTTAGGCAGAGGGTGTCACCTAGCCTCACCCTTCACAGAACTACTTGTTAGTAACTTGCCTCATAGCCTACAAGGAGCATTTACCTTCAGCCGCTGCTCAGCCGCAATCATGCTGTAATAAGCACAGCACTGTTCTGGGGATACCATTGCTCTGATCTCTTCCTCTGTCGGCAATCTGAAATCTGGCTTTAAAACCCACCAGTTTGAGTCCATCCCTGCAAAATGCACAGATCAAACACAGAGTAGTTTCCCACAAATGTCGGATATCCTCATATTCCTAACTGTATTTCAAGATTCGGTACCCTGCTGCAGTGCTGGCAAAAGGATCAAGTATGACAAATCTGTGACACTCAGACAACTAAAAGGGACAGGTTTTTTCATTCTGCATTTGTCTAAATCAACGTTCCCTAAATCAGCATCTGTTATTTCAGCAAACTCTTATGCATTCATGCTCATTCAGTGTATAAAATGCACTCCAAAAGCATTTAATCCACCTTTCTCTTCCTCACCTCAAACTACTTTTCTCTGTGGCTAGCCTAAAAAGCTTTATATTGCCACCTGTTTATCATTCTGCCTATATGAAAATCAGAACTCGGGCTCTTGGAGCACGATTAGACTCGCGAAGATGGGACAAGGTTCTGCTGCCATGCATTTGCTTGCAAAACACAACACGGCCATACAGAGAGGGAAGGGAACGTGTACGTGTTGGTGTCGTACATCGTTACTTGAAGAGTAACTCATTGCCCCAAGGGTTATTAAAAAGAAAAGGACCAAAATGTAGTCAGTTCTCCCCATCAGGCACACTGGTGTCAGAAGAAAGTGCACACTTGTAAAAACTGCAACAAAGATCTTAGCAGACCACATTTCAGTTCTTCAAATCAATGTTTTCAAAAATGGTTTGTCATCAATGATGCCTCCTCCTGCTCTGTTTGGAATTCCAAGAGCAGCGAAGAACGGCTGCCCACCACGTAAATACCTGTGCGTTTGAAATCAGCGCAGAGCTTCAGCCGCTTCCGGATGCTACTCTCTGAGTGTGAGGGAAAGGCCTTCTTGATATCCTCCATGCGAATTCTCCGAGGACGGTCCCGGCTTTTCCAGAAGAGGCGATAAATAAAAACCTAAAGAACAAGGCTCATTTATGATGTCCAAAGAAAGACTACAACAAACCCACAAAGACAGCACAGACAGTGCTGTTTCAAGTGACTACTTCAAACTTCCTCCTTGAAACCCATTGTATCTTATAAAGTCACCTAGTAAAGTTTCCCAAGCCCTGTGTCTGCTTGAGGTTCAGCTGTTTTTGAGAATGAGATGTGGAAAAAATTCTTGTCTTGAAATTGTGTATTACCGCATTAGAAGCGTTCAGGCTTTGGTACAGAAACTTGCACCCTGTGAACGTCAGGGATTTTTGTCCTCTGCAAATACCTCTCGAGTTATGATTTTGAATTAAACTGACAGTAAATTCCTAGACGTTTTCTCCAAAATCTAAATTTGAGGATATATTTGAATGGCCACTGACAGTCCCAAGGCTTAACTGCCTCGAGATCTGGGAAGTCAGCAAAAGACCCATGAATCAACTGTAATTCCTTGCTGTGCAACAGGACTGCAGTAAGATCCCTTATCTGCCTCTCAGTAAAACCCGTATCAGTGTCATTGTGTGCAGCAAAACCACTTCAAAGTTCATTCTGATTTCTTTCGTTTCCAACACTTTTATATAATCTTACAACCTTTTATTTTGGCTAATAAAAAGCCTCTATCAGATAGGATGCAAGTAAACAGAAGCAGCATGCTACAAATCACTGGAACCAAAACGCTCTGTATGGCTGACATCCAACTCCTGCAGTGCTGTTACCTCACAACAACAAAAACACGAGACCGAAACCAAAAGGGAGCCAAAGAAGGGCAATGAGCTTCTCAAATTAAGGCTGTCCACAAGAGGCCCGTGCGTATGCCGTGGTCTTTCTCCAAAGACCCCTCAGATCCCCAGACGGTCTTTTACCACATACCTGCAGAAAATCTCTGATATGGGTGTTAGCTCGTTTCGAGTTGGGACCAGGGACTTCATAAAGCGGGCACTCCTGACCAACTACAAAAATATCCACTAATTCTCGAACATAATAGCCTTGTCGTGTCCGAATAATCAGGAAGTCCGTTTCAGGCATCTTATGTAAATAGATAGGAGCCCGGAAAAGGTTGTTTTCAAATGCCTAATAAGAGAAACAAATCAAGGTTTGAAAGTCGGGTTTTGATCTGATTTTCTGTACCTCAATCTCCAAAACAAAAAAAGAAAAAAACTTAGAAAAAAACCTAACAACTCAAACAACCCAACTGCCATTCCAATGGTATGGAATTACCATATGGTAATTATGGTATTATGGAATACACACAGACACACACACAGAAACATTCTGCCTATTACTTCACATTCAACTTTTCTCTCTTTTTATGCTTGCTTTTCTCACCTGCAGTAACTGGCCTGGATGCAGGGAACCCAGGAACGGAGAAGTGTGACAATAAACAGTCTCTCCATATTTACAGTCCGGAGCTCCTGGATCTTTGCCGGGTTTCTGCAACGTGCAATGAAGACGCAGTCAGCACGCAGCGAGAGGCAGAAGAAAATCACCGTTCAGCAGCAAAACCTGCACACTCACCCTTTTGTAGTAATTTTTAATCTTTGTTGCCATGCCAACCTGCATCATTAAAGGGGCATTTTCCTCACTGTATTCGGCAAGGATGAGATCTCCATCTTTGCCAGTCAGGTCCTGTGGTGTGCGCATGAAGAACATCTCACCCCCGCCAGAAGCCTGGCGCTCCTGCTCTCTCATCTGTGCCCGTGAAAGACAGCATTAGGAAAACAGCACATCAAGCAGATCTGCTGTGCGCATGGAGCCACAGCAGACATCAGACCCAGAGAAAAATCACTCTACCTTGGCCTTCTTTTTGATGTGCTTCAGCAGAGGTTGCACAGCATGGGGCCCTGGCTGGGACAAGGCACCAAAGGAGTATTTCTTCAGGGGAGGCCGATGAAACTGTCGGAGCTTCATAGGACCCATATGGGTGGGAAAGAATGGCTGGCGAAGTTCCACTGCTGGGATAGAGTGCTAACACGGGAACAAAATCAAGGTCATCTTTCTATCCTGCTAACCCTGAGGTACCAGAATCTAGGAACATTGTTAGGTCTGCTAGCAGTAATACTGAAATTCACTTGTTATCATACGTTTTGCCTTTTGATAGAAAGGGCTTTGGCACATACATAGATCTTTCCTTTCTGTACAGAGAAAACCCTAATTTTACTATTTCAAATGGTACCCAACGAGAGGATTATTTTATTAACCAGAAGCATGCAAAGCCATTGTCCCTATCGCTGGGAGAGAAGTGCATTTTGAATTGCATACATTCTTCCCATTACAGAAGAGGCTGGAATCAGATGAGGTTTTAGAAGAGGGTCACTGAATATCACAATGAAGGAGGAAAAAAAAATATCACCTCTTCACATAGGGCTAGTGAGCAGGAGCTCAAATTCATCATTATCTAAACTATTTTTATAATAGCCAGATTAAAACACAGACTAGTGGCACACGTACAGCCTCATCTCTTGACTGTCTGCATCACTTTCCCTGCTCCCACGCTACTGCTTCAGGAAGACACCAAACAGAAGCATGGCAAGTATGATACAGCAAGATCCAGCACCTAAACTCAGTTTGATAGGGCAGTGAAGAAAAGTCAGTTCAAACTCCTTCCTAATAATTTTAACTAAACAACATGAAAAATCTCTCTCATGAACACTTAACTGACCTGCTACAATCTAAATTCTGTTCTGAGATCATACTCTCAGCCAGAAACCTCCTGCTAAGACACTCTGTCTCTTATTCTATAGCAACACTACTGTGGCTACCTGAATGATGTTGCCTCCAAAGGTTCCTCGAAGTCCCTGCTGTTTGGGGTAGTAAAACTCATCATTGGAGAGGTTCCAGGGGTCCTTCACCTCTGGCTGAGACATGTTCTAATTCAACGTTAAACACAGAGAGAGATGTCACCAAAAAATCCCTCCTTCCACATCATTCCCAATCTGCAAGGCGCCAAAGCTTATGCTGACCTGCTGTGGTTCTTCCTTGATGACACCTGTTTTTCCTAACAGGATTCGACTCTTCTTCAAAGAAGATTCTTTCTTGTTCTCTTTGGATGGAGAGTTCAAAGTCATCTCTTCCTTTTCATCAGGAATTTCTAAAAACACAAGCAATCGCACTGTAGGGCACTTGTCCTGCTTGTCAACACCGCTACCTCCTACTGAGCTCCAGCCTGGCCCAGGCATTTTAACCCACACTCCTCCCCATTTTCCTCCATGCAGGTCAATATGAAACAAGGTCAACAAACACAGAAGACCTCCAAGCTTAGATCTATATCTCACCTTCTTCAGCAGGGAGTAGATTTGAGAGAAGTGTAATTGTGGGGATTGCTGGGGTAACCACTGCTCAACACAAAATTTACTAACAATCTAATCAATGAAAGCAGAAGAAATAGCAGCTGTTCTGCCAAAGCTTTTAGAAAGAGCAGAGGGTCAAGGCGACAGAAGTGCCAACACTGTTTCCCAACTACACGCACTAATAATCCTTTTCTTCCCCACACATATACACCACAAAAGTGAGTCTGAATCCAAAGATAACATGGACC